GGGGCTAAAGGGGATGCTGTCGGGATGATATGAGAGCTGCCATTGACCTAAAGGTAAAAGCTCCAGAGCCATCATCATGATCTATGCTTCATCAGCTGACTGAGCAGTAACAATCAGTCAGATTTTGGCTTTCTAGTTTTTTGATTGAAAATCTATTATGATTCCAAGTGTACAAGTTTTGGGTTTGGCAAAAATACATATTTATTTATTTATTTTTCCCCTCTCAAAATGAAACACATAGCTAAACATGCCAAAGATGTTGCTACCCAATATCCATGTTACTGGGTTCACTGTCGATGTATACCTGTTTGTTGTGTTAAAAACATACAGTACTATAACATAATTAAAATAGTTTGACCTTGTCTGAATTTTAGTTTCTGCAGAAGGCTTTTACACTGAGATGCTGCATTTGACAAGTTACATTTTTTTTAGCCACAGAGCGGGGGAGGAAGTACATTTCCCTAGACACACATACATGTATGTTCTCATAGTAGAGGCTTTCATTGTATTTAATTTTGCACAGGCAGGTCATTTTGTCACTGTTGCAGCTAATTATTATTGATCTTGGTTGTAACTTGAACCAGAGATTAAGTATATGGATGAATGGCACAAATATGGTTCTATATTTGTTATATTAGATTGTAAGCTCTTAAGGAGCAGGCCCTCTGATTCCTCCTTTATTGAATTGTATTGTGACTGTACTGTCTGCCCTCATATTGTAAAGCGCTGCGCAAACTGTTGGTGCTATACACATCCTATATTATAATAATATTTTGTTGTTGGGAAAGGTAGTAGAGGATGGTGCCATCATTTCACTAGCTGGGAAACTTTCCTGGATATTCAGTATCAGACTTCTAGTGTTGCTTTTTTTTCTTTTTTTTCTTTTTTTGGCAGAACCCAGATTTTGTTTTTAACACAAGGCCCTTTTATGTGTACTAAATAGTCTGCCAGATCACCTTGCCATAATTGCATCGACAGTTATCTTGTAACTTCTTGAAACAGATAAAAAAGTTTCCACCAGGCTCAGTGTAGATTCTGTTTTTGTGAATGGTGCTGTCATTCTTGTATTATATCTCTGTGATGCTAGTGTACAGTCCCAGCATGCATGTGTCCTGATGCTTGCATTGTCCATTTAGTAATGGTACACCACAGAAGAAATAATAGAATAATAAGAAAGCTAAATGAAGTGCACAGATCAACACTGTTATCTGTATGCATAAAGTACCATCATTTAACAATGTCACTCTTTTCTGTTCTGCCACCAGAAAGAGTGTGTTAATTGGTGTATAATCTCCACAATGTGTTGTCCTATATGTGAATCACACAGTTCTGCTCTGATCAAATCTACATGGTCATGTTTTATATAAAAAGTAGAAAAGTCCAGTGCTGATAAATGTACTCCAGACGAGCACTTGGAGTGAGTGGAGTGACATGAAATCAATAAAACTGCAAAGTCCCATGCCCTTGCTGTTGTATGTTGTTCAGCTGAGTAAAGTTGAAACCACCCCAAATGGCAGTTTAATATGGCCATTCTCCTATTAACCAATTGATTTCTCATTGAGATAGAGGACACTGGATTCCCTTGTATGAATTTACATTGGCATGATTTCTCCTTTTTTCTGATGACATTTGTTATAACTGTTTATAGGAATAGGCCATTGGAGCACATTCATACTTGGAACTGATTTACCCCAGAGACTGTGCACTTTCTATTTGAGCTTTCTTCTGTATGGTCTTGTCTATGCAGACTGAAAATTGATGTTTTCTGGAGTAGATTACATTTGCCCTATTCCAGAATGTTCTTGTATGTAGTAATGATATCATTCTCCTCTGTGTCCCTGTGTCTACTAATTCTCCCTCCAGGCTTTTGTGGTTCCAACACTTCACCAGAGAGATCTTGAGACAAGTGTTGTGTTATATTATTGCTTCAGAATGCTGCCCCCCCCCCCAACCTTATTCCACACAAATTGGCCCTGAACTGAAATGTGAAGGGAGGTGAACACAATCTAATTATGATCAGGGCGGTAAAAAAATAATCGTTCTCTTTTTGCATATGGTTGGATATATGTGTTCACTTCATTGCTTTTCTCTTTACTAAACCACAGTGGTTGACTTTTAAAAACAATGGCCACCAATGGTCAAAACCGCAAAAAGACATACCTGTAAAAAAAAAAAAAAAAAAAAAAAGAAAAGTCTTGGAGGCTAACTGCACCTTTTGCAACATGTTACACCCCTATTTAGGATGTAAACTGTTGCTAAGCAAAGCCTTATACACGTGCTCCCCTTCTTCCCCTACCTCATAGGGATCTGTGCGTGAACTACAAGTCCTGTCTGCCTTTGGGGGGAAATTCTCCTTGGAAGTAGAAAAGCAGTAATCACCACACTCATAGTCCATTGACACATCCTCTAGTTCTCCAACTGAAAGCCTATACCTCAGAATGGGCAGGGAACTGGAGGAAGATTCTGTAGGGCCAAGCATTGCATTCGGGAAGCATTGCATTCGTGATCCAATCATCACCTATTTGTCCTGCAAAAATTTTTTTTTCAACCTTAAAGGGGAACTTCAGTCCCTACCCTCTTCTAGGTTCAGACAGTCCATCCCCAAGGATGCATGCCATGCCTACCCACTGGCTACTGTTTGTAGTCTCCCGGAATTTATGATCTGCATATCCCAAGAAGCTACAAGAGTAGGTACATGCCTTTTTAGCCTTGGCAAGCATGGCTGCGGAGGGGGGGACTTCAGTTAATAGAGTGTCCACTTTAACAGTAAATGCTTGCTGTTTTATTATATGTCATTTGTAAAGTTGTTCTTGTTTTTGGTGTGAAACCTTTATGCAAGGCAGTGCATTCAGCATCCTTGTTAAATGAATGTTGTGACAACATTTGTTCCAGCAAAAGCCACCTAGAATGTAGTTTGTGATGTAATGCTGGTCATACACACAAAGAATGGATCATAGATCCAATCATTTCCAACATGTTTTCACTGAAAAACAGTTGTGACATTGTGGTTGAATTTGATTAGCATGGGCGTTTGGCCTTTTTTCTTTTTATATTGTCAGATGTTATTCTAGAAATACACTGAGCTGAAGGAGAGCAGTAAAGCACAATCACATGCTCCCATGTCTTCAGGTTATCTTGATCAGTTTGGTAGTCTGTTTTAGGGCTACTGGGAATATGTGAGGTCACAAGGCAACTTATTAAGTGCAAAATAAAGTCTTCCTGTATGTGCCTAGACTAGTCACTGATCGGTTTTAATGACAGGTATTATGTGAACTGTAAAAAAAAAAATTAGGGAAAGTTCCAGCTTCTCCATAAATTAAACATTCTATGCATTGTGTGTGTGTTTATGGGCCAGTGGCTGTGTCCCCCAGCCGTAAGGGCTGGTAAACACTGCTAATCCCTTTCTGCTTTCCTGCATACCCCTCTTACTGTTCTACATTGCACAGTCTTGTTATGAGCAGGCAAACCAAACAAAATTAGAGATTTACGAAAAAGGCAAATGGTTTGCTAAAACTTTGAGGCGGGCAGCAGTATTGGGACTTGTTTATCAAGGCTGTTGTGGTCACTGCAAATAGTTTTAGGCTTGAAGAGTGATTGGATCACATATCTTGCTCAGACTGATACTTGTTAAACAGTGTGTGTTTAGCTATGCTTTCTAACACTCCTAATGTGCATTAATGTCTATATAAACATACTATGGCTACCAAACATGTATAACCTGTGACTCCCATCCTTGCTGTTATGCACAGATAATAAAACAAAAAATTGACATTAGACAGACCTAATGAAGTTTTAAACCCCTTCATACTATCATTACTGATTTCATATTCAGCTTTCATGCCTAACTTAAATTTATTACTCTCATACCTAAAATTATATTGAAGCCAGAGGATCATTAACAGCCAGAAACTAATATTTTAGTAGATCACCAGTGGCAGGCTATACATTTCTTTGATAAGACGTTTCATTAAAAGTTTAACTGTGGGCAAAATAAGAGTCTCCCTGTAACAACATATCTTTACACGTTGATCCTGCCAGAAAGTCTGTTTATTATTATTATACAGGATTTATATAGCGCCAACAGTTTGCTCAGCGCTTTACAATATTACGGGAGACAATACAGTTCAATACAAGAGGGATTTCATTCTGTACTTCTTTCAACAGGGTGGCAAGATGATCTCTTCTGCAGTGAAGTTGCACAGCAGCATTGTCACCTGGACAGGGTAGTCTTGGGTTGGCTTTACACTTACGGGTTCCAGTAATGTGCACAGTACTGTAGCATGCACAAAATAGTGCGTTGTGTGGTGCCGTTCAATCTGAATGGCACCTAAATGCACTAAGGAAATGGACTTGCATTGTAGGTATTTTTGGTCAGTTTAAGAGCCCTTTGACACGAAAAGCAATAAATGTTGACATTTACCAAACATTCACTGTAGGTGAATCATCCAGTGCATGTGTTTTAAATGACTTAATAACCACCAGTGAATGTTTGATGAAGTCACTTTCACTGCTTTTATAAATCCATCCTTTACTTTTTAATGGAAAAATTAAAGCCTAACTTCAGGTGTCATGCTTTAAGCAGTTACAACAAAAGATTTTTTTTTTTTTCCTTTTGAAAAGAAGGTTTAAACATGTAAATGTAAATAAATTAACACCCCCATAAATGTATATTGTTCAAACCCCTGTAACCTTCACTTTGCTGGACACATTGATCTGCATGTAAATGTGAAGAACCGTATAAAAAAGCCTGTGTGGAGAAAAAGCAAATGCAATTCATATACCCATATAGTTACCAGAATTTACTTTTTTGGTGCTATAGTGGTCCTTTTAATGCAGTAAAATGGGCAGTAAATTTTTTTTTTTTTAATGCTAGGAATTCCGATTAAGCAAGGTGGAGTTGCTTTAGGTTGTACGATTCAGAGGATTACTATTTACCTGAAAGGTTTGTTCCCATCTTTTGTTGCATGTCTGCTTATCCTAATGCTTGTTCTCTTTTCCAGAATGCTGACTACACAACAGGACAGGTTTTTGACTTGTCTGAGAAACTAGAGCAATCAGAAGCCCAGCTTGGCCGTGGCAGTTTTATGCTGGGATTAGAAACGCACGATAGGAAATCTGAAGACAAACTAGCCAAAGCTACAAGAGACAGGTAATCAATTTTTTTTCTTAGCAAAATCACCTTTTTATCCCAGTTACAGTGGATTTGTGAGCACCAATTAAAAGTACCACCTGAAAATGACAAGGAACCTCTGTAAATGACAAGCAACATTTGTTTTAATTAATGGCTGCCTCTGGTGACAGCAGGCAACAGGTACACTTTTAGAGCAGTTGTTCGCCAACATTTTTTCTCTCCAGGGTCTAACCTGGCTGATTTAAGTACAGTGGATATGAAGTGTCTACACACCCCTGTCAAAATGTCAGGGGTCTGTGATGGAAAAAATGGAGAGAGATAAATAATTTCAGAACTTTTTCCACCTTTTTAATGTGACATATAAACTGTACAACTCAATTGAAAAACAAACTGAAATAGGAGTCAGTACACACCTGCCATCATTTTTAAAGTGCCTCTGATTAACCCCAAATAAATTTCAGCAGTTCTAGTAGGTCTTTCCTGACTTTTTTTTTTTTTTAGTCACTTCTTACAGCAAAAGCCATGGTCCGCAGAGAGCTTCCAAAGCATCAGAGGGATCTCATTGTTAAAAGATATCAGTCAGGAGAAGGGTACAAAAGAATTTCCAAGGCATTAGATATACCATGGAACACAGTGAAGACAGTCGTCATCAAGTGGAGAAAATATGGCACAACACTGACATTGCCAAAAACTGGACATTCCTCCAAAATTGATGAAAAGATGAGAAGAAAACTGGTCTGGGAGGCTGCTGAGAGGCCTACAGCAACATTAAAGGCGCTGCAAGAATATCTGGCAAGTACCGGCTGTGTGGTACATGTGACAACAATCTCCCGTATTCTTCATATGTCTGGGCTATGGGGTAGAGTGGCAAGACGGGAGCCTTTTCTTATGAAGAAAAACATCCAAGCCTGGCTAAATTTTGCAAAAACACGTCTGAAGTCTCCCAAAAGCATGTGGGAAAATGTGTTATGGTCTGATGAAACAAGGTTGAACTTTTAGGCCATATTTCCAAAAGATATGTTTGGCACAAAAACAACAATGCACATCACCAAAAGAACACCATACCAGCAGTGAAGCATGGTGGCAGCTTCATGCTTTTGGGGCTGTTTTTTCTTCAGCTGAAACTTGGGCCTTTGTCAAGGTACAGGGAATTATGAACAGTTCCAAATACCAGTCAATATTGGCACAAAACCTTCAGGCTTCTGCTAGAAAGCTGAACATGAAGAGAAACTTCATCTTTCAGCATGACAACGACCCAAAGCAGACATCCAAATCAACAAAGAAATGGCTTCACCAGAAGAAGATGAAAGTTTTGGAATGGCCCAGCCAGAGACCAGACCTAAATCCAATCGAAAATCTGTGGGGTGATCTAAAGAGGGCTGTGCACAGGAGATGCCCTCACAATCTGACAGATTTGGAGTGTTTTTGCATGGCAGAGTGGGCAAATATTGCCAAGTCAAGATGTGCCATGCTGATAGACTCCTACCCAAAAAGACTGAGTGCTGTAATAAAATCAAAAGGTGCATCAATAAAGTATTAGTGTAAGGGTGTGCACACTTATGCAACCATATTATTTTAGTTTTTTAATTTTTACTTCCCTCCACCTAAACGATTTCAGTTTCTTATTCAACTGAGTTGTACAGTTTATAGGTCACATTAAAGGTGGAAAAAGTCCTGAAATTATCTATCTTTGTCTCATTTTTTTTTTACATCACAGAAGCCTGACATTTTAACAGGGGTCTGTAGACTTTGTATATCCTCTGTGTGTCTCTCCTTGCAGCAGCTGAAAAGTTGGCTTCTCCTCCTCTCCCTCCTGCCAGCTTTCAGCTGCTACAGGGAGAGACTCACAAGGGACCGGTTCCTGTAATTGTGGCCCCCATGTACCTCCTCTTCCCCTGCAGCGCTGCCGGATTCAGGAGAATGGGGGAAGGGGCTGGTAAATGTCATATTTACTGGCCCTTTCTTTTTGTGACTGAAAACTGTGTTCATTCATAACTGAAGCAAAGTAAACTGACATTTTTACTGAACGGCAGGAGCATAGCTATCACTATACTTTCGGCACGCCTGCGCTGGACCTTCTAGTCTCAACTGAGTCACCCAAACACATGGTGTTTTGTGTTAGGTTAACCTATTCATAAAATACAAAGCCTCCTTTGAATGGACAGTGGAGGGGAGGGGCTGGCAGAGCTGCTGCTGTGTGAGGAAGCAAAGTCTCTCTGGTCAGAGCTTCGGGAGTGTAGCAATAGCTGTACTCATGGTGCTCCGTAAAACTGTCGGTTTTAAATAAGAGATAAATTCATGAGGAGGCAAGTGCCTTGTTAGACTTAACCCATAGTAAGCTACCACATTTTAGAAAGTGGCTGGATTCCTTCCTTTAGCCCTCAGTGGTGAAGTCCATCTCACAGATTTGAGAACCAGCGCTTTAAGGAATGCTGTATAAGTAACCAGGACAGGCATTAGTTGTACATTTCTGAGCAGCAAATCAGTGGATATTCTTATATCTGTACAGTGCTGTCAGTGAATAATTTTGTTGTATTTTTTTTAACTTCACTGAAGTCATAATTGGGCCTTCTATAAAAAAAAGGGGGAGGCAACTTAAACTGATATTACTTGATGAAGCTCTGTGCATGTAGAATATCCATCAATTTAGGTGAACCTTCACTGAAATAGGACTGATCTATAGTAAACCAGGAATTGCCTTTGGGCACAAGCTGGAAAAACCTTCTCATTACAAAAAGAAAAAAACATATCAAATTGTGAATTTTCAAGCTTGATTCCCCACAATCATTATGTTAAATACAGCCCTTCCCAGGCTTCCCCATGCGACCATTCTAGGACCTGTCAATTGGCCATTCAGACTTTGAATGCTGAAGTAAGGGAAGGGAGGGGAATGTCATATTTAGAAGTTTTAGGCTTTGTGTCATGTTCCCTCACTTTCATTTCATTTTATATCTAATGATTTTACTTCTTGCTTTTCAGCTGTAAAACAACAATCGAAGCAATCCATGGCTTGATGTCACAAGTGATTAAAGATAAACTCTTTAATCAAATAAACACTTCATAGGCATTTAACTCTTTGTAAGAATCCTTTATTCTCTGGCTCGTTCTCAGCTGTTTGTTGTGTTTTTATAAGTTGCTTCTTTTATGCGGAAGCTGTACAATGTCACCAGGTAGCACTTATTTTCCTTGATCACAAAATGGAAAGCATAGGACCTTTTTATTGCAACTTTTCAGCAATAACAGCATTGTAAACTTTGTTGCTTTCTGGGTGAATAAAGCCACTTTTTAAAATGTATGAGGTTCTGTGTATTTTAGCTTTTAAATTGTTACAGCATATCTGTAGTAAAATTTTATATTAATTTACACATTGAATTTCAATAATTTCTAGCATACTCCTATTACTGTGAACAATCATGACGTTTGTAAAGATTCCCCTACATACAATGTACTTTTTATTAGATTATAAGGCCTTGTTTATATGACCGTCCGTTTGTGAAACAGCTGTGTAAAACATTTTTATGAAAAGCAGCAAACAACTTTGTTAAAGCCGCCTTCAGCTTCAATATGGGGAGAATAAACACAAATCCTAAAGCGGAAACGGAATATGACAAAAGTCAAGTGGAGGGCAAAGGACTAGTCATCAGTGTTGCCTGTGGTCTCTCTGCAGCTAATTTTACTGACCTTGTTCTTGCATGGTGTGTCTATGTGGAGGCAGCCATCTTGATAGAAGCAGTCCTTTGCTTCCTCTTGTTAGGGGCTCCAGCACAGAGAACAGTGAGCAGTAATGACATTACCAAAAAACTAGCAGTCAGAGGCAGCAGTGCCTTAGAACTCACACTGCATGTATACAACTGAGATTGTAGGTACAGGAGTTCCTTGAAACACTTACATTCTAGGAAGTGGTCTGCTATTTTTCAGAAGGAATTGCGTACTGATGGTCATTTTTGTTTAAGGATACTGCTTAGGTACATATAACATTTCTAAATGCCCCACAACACTACAAATATTTTCTTTTAGGCTCAAATTCCAGAAGCCAAAGAAACTCCCTTTTTTTTTTTTTTTCTTTTTTTTTTCTTCATCCCCTCACCCTGTGCCCCTGTGCAAGTATCAGAAGCAGATTCTCCCTTACTTGAAAATTTTGAGGACATAGATTTTGTAGCAGAGGATTTTCCTTCACCTGTAGCTTATGAGGTACAGGCTATGACATGGTGCCAAATGTTTTACGCTGTGGACACAGTAATTAATGTGGTGCATGCTTGCTTTTGACTTAAAGCAACTGATTCCTCACAGCCAAAAGAGATCCTTATGGGTACTAAGTTTGCCATGTAACCACCTCAAGTAAGGGGCACATGGAAGGGGATTGCACAGGACAAACAAGATTTCCCAGCACACTTACCAGCTATAAATAATTAATCCCCACAACCTAAATGGGTAACAGCACTGCCCAAACACATGTATTAACAAAATAAGACTAACCAAGAACTTCAGTTCATGAATAAACTCAATAATCCGAAATGGTCAGTGCTCTGTGCCAGGTCCATCCACCACAAACAATAAGTGATAATAATGTGCTCCAAAGGTTCTTCTCCAAGAACCAGATGACTCTAGAGAAGACAGACTCCACGGAAAAACACTGCACTAACAGGAAAGTGTTGATCCCTAGTGTTAGGAAGTGAGTCAATATAGTGCTCCATATTGAATCTTGGTTCCGTGTAGCTCTGTCCTTTAAATAGCCTTCATCCATCTTCTGGATGCCATTATCACATGCCCCTCCAATCAACTCAAAGTAATTTAATCCAAATTCCATACAGTAGAGAGAGCGTAGAAGTTCCACATAGTGAAAAGTACTGTTTATTTTAGTTTAAAATTGGTAAAAATGCAATTCTGATGCAGTAAAATGATCTAGAGCTGATGCGTAGCTGGCTCCTGAGGACATTGATTTTGGAGATGAAGTGCATAGAAATGAAGTTCCAGTTGTCGTCCTATCCAATGACCTAAGGTGCATGGTGGCCATCTTTTTTAGGAAAAAAAGCCTTTTTCAACTACTTCAAGGATAGATCAGAGTCTCCAACCTTTCTAAACAAAGGGCCGGTTTATGGTGTGTCAGACTTTAGGAGGGCCAGACTGTGGCCAGCTGGAGTAGAAATTGCCCCAGTGTCAGCGGGAGTAGATAATGTCTCAGTCTTGGTGCTCAGTGGGAGTAAAAAAAAAATTATATATATTTGTTGTCTGTGGGAGAAATAGTGCCTTGTGTCAGCGTGAGGAACAGTGCCCCAAGAACCACATCCAGGGAAGCAAAGGGCTGCATTTGGCCCACGGGCCACAGTATGGAGACCACTGTTATAGATGATTCGACAGCATTGTAAGTGTTTCCCCACACCAAATCCAGTGAGCAAGCTCTACATGATTGGCTACCACCTGAATTTATAGCTACATTTTGAAGCGAGATGCATGTGGAGGGACATTGCCCAGCACACTTTCCAGCTAGTCTGCAAAAAAACAAAAACAAAATTGCACTGTCTAACAGTTTACAAACTGCCTCTCCTAAGGCTCCTTTGTAAAATGCATCCCTCACTTTTAAATTTGAGAGTTTGCAAATTAAGTTTTTAGCCTAAACACCTTATTTGCTTGTCCAGCTGCCAGAGATTTATGTCCTAACAAAAATGAATCTACAGTGCAAATAGCTTGTAAATCTGGGTGAATGCAGGGAGGCACAGGTGCGTGCAATTGCGTGCCCTTTGATACTGAAGTTCTCAACCATAACCTAGTGATTTGACTTCAGCAATCTAAGGAATGTAACATATACACAGTGCAGCAGTTTGTGGTATGTCATTACAGTGGCGGTAGTCAGCGCAGTAGGGTATTGGTGCAACATCAGTGTTTACTTACCTGCTGGTCCATTGCCTCCTCAAAAGACATCATTACTGTCTCTCCCAGAACTGAAGGTGTCACTGTCTCTGGGCAAGCAGTTTTGGGTGGATCAATCCACCTGCACGTGCCTGTGTTGACATTCACAGTTTGGTTTTTTTTTCATTGACAGTACAGAATGTGTCCTTGCCAATATGGTGGTTGACAGAGAGGATGATGCAGAAATTCAATTGCGCATGTACACACTGCATAGTTGTGGTTGTCACGGTAACAGGCTGAGGGTTACAAGACCCAATGCCACGCTTCTATATCTCGGGAGCCAGAAGGAAGGTCAGAGCTAGCTCTTGCTGTCATGTCCTGGGATTGTGATTTAAAGTAATAGTCTGCATGGCAACACTGGGGTCCATGGTTTAACTCCCAACCTTGATACCACCTGCATGGAGTTTGCATGTTCTCCTTGTGATTTCATGGGTTTCCTCCAGGTAATACGGTTTCCTGACACACTCAAAAACCTGCTGCTAGGATAACTGTCTCCTGCCTAAAAATGCCCCTAGTATGTGTGTATGCATTTAGGGAGTGTAGATTGTAAGCTCCTTGAGAGCAGAACTTATGTGATTGTTCAATGCTGCGTAAATAGTCACTGCTATATAAATAAGTGTGTTCACAAACTTTACATTACTTGATTGTTAAAGCTCATTTTAGTCAGTACATATACAGCGCTCCCCTTGCATCACATTGTAGCACATTATGTAAAATTTACCTTAACAAAAAAAAAAGCCATCCAGCGGTGCACTGTTACATCTGTAGAGCCTTCCATCTTCACATGATCTTCCTTCTGGGTTCACAAGCACCATCCATCTGACTAGCTGGGCTGCGATGATGTCACTCCTGCACATGCACACAGGTGTCCCGGGACACGGCACAGTGCATGGGTATGCCGTTCCTTCAGAGCGCATGTGCCAGCTGCAGGAAAACTTGAATATCTCCTAAACTGTGCACGTTCAGGAGATATTGATTTTACCTACGGCTAAGCTTTATTATAAGCTTGCCTAAAGGGAAATATCTACAAAGTGGGTTTACTGCCACTTTAATAAGTACATCTAATCACACGTGTATTTTCCCATATAATACAAGGACCTCCATTTTCTGCAACTCAAGTGATTTACATAAATCAATATTCTATGGCGAAGAAGGAGGGAAACATAACTGCATTTACTAAAATGATTTATTAGAAATATAATAAAAACTCACATTTTATATAGCAGCACAGTGGCTAAATGGTTAGCACTTCCGCCTGGCAGTACTAGGGTCGTTGGTTTGAATCCCAGCCACGGCACCACCTGCCTGGAGTTTGGCATGTTCTCCCTGTGCCTGTGTGGGTTTCCTCTGGGTACTCCGGTTTCCGCCCACACTCCAAAGACATGCTGGTAGGTTAATTGGATCCAGTCTAAATTGGCCCTAATATGTGTATGTATGAATGTGAGTTAGGGACTGATGTGAATGTACAATATATATGTGTAAAGAGCTGCATAAATTGACGGCGCTATATAAGTACCTGAAATAAATACATTTTATATGTGCTTGCCCAGCACTATGGATAAGAGTATAGGCTCCTACAGGAGAGTGCACTCCACTGTCTCTCTTTGTGTGCATCATGACACCACTATGTTGTTGTTCCACCCGATGCATTTCGTCACACAGACTTCCTCGAGAGCAGCCACTCTCGAGGAAGTTGGTGTGACTTTTTAAAAGCAAAAAAATGTTTAAAGTACTTTACATTTTACCATTATATTTGAACACACATACAGAGTTAGAAGCAGTAGAAAGAACACAAGAAGAATCCAATATTTCAAAGTGTAACTGTTTCTTGCTGTCTGCTGGTCATCCCTCAGCTGTAGGTCAGATATAATTGACAGTGCTGAGGCTATGTGTAGTGGAACTGCTCCCAAAGTCTCCGTGCATTTAAAATGTATCTAGACCCAGCAAAATATGATGAGGAGACTGCATTTGTTTTATTTTTTTTTTTTCATGAACACACTGCACTGGTGGGCATTGTTTACTCCCTGTACTGTTCAGTATATAAGCTAGGAAAAATACTAACTGAGAAGTATCAGCACAGAAAGTCTACCATTGTAAACAGGTATTGTACAAAGGTTACAAAAAAAAACATATTCACTGGCTTATTTAACAGACCAA